GGGAACTCTTGCTGCCTGGGGAGAGAATCTGAGGGGCTAAGGGCACCATCGCCAATGGGGAAGACTTGGATTTGGACAAGGAGGGGGTCCCCAGGATTTGAGAGTTGGTAATGGCCCGGGCTGGGACAGAGATTGTTTGAAAGAGGGGCTGGGTGGCCGGGTGAGGCCAGAGGCCAGTGGGATTTCCTTCAGCTCCAGCCACCCGGGTGGGTGGGACCGGATTGCTGGAGCTGGACACAGGAATCTGCCTTTGTTTCCAGCTGGAAGGGAAATGCCATAAATCCTGCCCTTTCCTGCCCCTCCGGCATCCGTGCCCAGACTCTGCCCTCCCCAGCACCAGAGCGCCTGGTACAGAGGGCCCTTAGCATGCCCTCATCTCCAGGACCCCCTGGTCCACAGGCCTCTGCCCCTTGTTCCCCAAGACAGATCCCTGGTGTGGATGTAGGGGATCGGGGTCGGGGGTATCCAAGGCTTGTCTGGAGTAAATAGCCATAGAACAGGATTTAGGTTTTGACCTGCTCATCTCCCTCCTCTCCCTCAGAGGGACCGTGGCTTTTCACAGCGAAGGAAGACACCTAGGTCTAAAAGCAGGACTTGAGGTGAGGCTTGGCCCTCCCTCACCCCCCACCTCCTGTTCCAAATGGTTAGACAGACTCTGCAACTTCCACCCCAATCACACGAGCAACGTGCGGAGCTGGATGGCTGGGGGAACGCAGAGTGTCAGGGGGTAGAGCCAGATGGGCCAGGAACCCCAGGGCGGGGGGACCTGTCTTTGTTTTTCCTTTGTCAGCGAGTCTGTGTGTTTGTGTCCCTGTGGGATGGGATGTGTTTATGCGTGCTTGTGTGTGGGGCCTCTCTGTGTGTGACTAGGAGTTTCTGGGCCAATGGGCCTGTGTGCACTTCTGTGCCTGTGACTCTGAGGGTCCCTGTGGGACCCTGGTTGACCGTGTGTCTGCATGTGACATTGCCTGTGTGCGGCCAAAGTTTCAGAGTCCATCCAACCGCAAGCCTTGCCCTCCAGCCCTCCCTTCAGTTGCGGTGTCTTCCTTAACCGTGAAAAGCCACGATCCCTCTGAGGCAAAGGAGAGAGGTGAGCAGGTCAGATTGTCTGCATGAACCCTGGCTGGACAGGTTCTCAGTGTGGCTGGCTGACATCTGACAGGAGAAAAGTCCTGAGAGGTCAGGGCGAGGAGCAGACTGGGGACATGGAGGGGAAAGCTTGAGGAGGGGCACGGCTGGCCTGGTGATAAGTGTGGTGGAAGATGCGTGGATGTTTTCAACCATCTAGAAAAGATGACTGCTGGAGAGGAGGGACTCCTGCCCAGGTGCCCTTGTGGGGAAAAGAAGACATGAACCAATGAGTCCCCACGTGTCCTCCTGTCCTCCCACATATATTACTCCCTCGCCTTCTCTTGACCTAACAGGGGTTTCCCAGGGCATGCCCTAGAATAACCAGGGACACTGCCACTCCTGGAACCAGGGCAGCCCCTGAGATGAGAAGGAAGACCATAAAGGCCCCTCTAAGCATCCCGGACCTCGGTGGAGCCTGACATCAAGTTCTCTTCTATATACATTTATTGAGCCTGTATCAGCCAGCATCGAGCCAGGGGCAGAAGTGAGAGGAGGGTACCCCAGGAGTCCCCACAAGCCTGGCTGACATCTCAGTGTGTATCAGAACAGCCAACCTTGCTGTCCCTTCTCTCAGAGCGCCCTGTCCGCCAGAGTGAGGGGGTGGACACATGCACACACAGGGGACAGGTTGGCTGGCCATGGGTGCTGCAGTGATGGAGAGTGGGCCGGGGGTGTGCCTGGGCTTGGGGGCGCAGAACTGTGCAGGAGCTGGTCTGAAAAGGCTGCCTGAGATATGTGTGTGTTTTCACTTCAGGGTCCACCAGAATAGGATCCTAGAATCACAGGGGAGGCCGTGGGGTTTCAAGGACACGTCTGCTGGCCTCCTCCACAGAGCTGCCCCCTTGGCAGTTTCCTCCCCGCTGCCGCTCAGCGCAGTAACAAAGGCTGCTGTTTACTGGCGCTGACCGCGTGCCAGGCCGGCTCTGCGCCTCACATCCCTCTCACTGCTTAGCTGCACAGCAACCCTGGGAAGTAGCGATTATCTGTTATCACCATTTGATGTTATGAATGGGCAGACGGAGGCTGGGAGAGGTCCCTGGGCACAGAGATGGTAAGAGGCGGGGCTGGGATTCAGCCCTAGGTCTGTCGGCTGAGGCAGGGCAGCTTCCCTGTGGCCTGTGTTCTGCACAGCCGGGGGCCTCGTGCTGGGTCCCTTGGCTTCTGCTGACAAGGACGCAGTTTGGAAGCCTCAGGAGCTGTGGGGACTGGGGAGAAGCCAGGCTGTGAGTAGAGAGGTTGACTTTGGGCAGCACAGGCCGAGTTGCATACACAGGCTCCTCTCCCCTCCGGTGCCTGAAAGGCTGTCAGGAGCTGTTAGAGGATTAGAGGGAGATGGATCCGCCTGGGAGGAGGAATTACTGCACTGCAGACCTGGGACTCTAGCTGCCCTGGAGATGGCCAGGGCTGGAGGGGTGGGTCTTCTCCAGGGTGGAGAGGCTCCCTCTGCTGGAAAGTGTTATCTGACCCGGGCCCCGGTGTTACCACCCATTGAGCCTCCCGGCCTTAGATCCATCCCAACCCAGCTGGAGAGAGAGAGCCACAGAAGGCTGGTTCTCTGGCCCTGAAGATGCCCTGGTCACCCCTGCGCCCTTGTAAGACTCAAGCCTTTGGAAGTGGGAGGGAGAGACTCAGAGAACCAGGGAACCAGGCTGTGGGTAGAGCCCATGAGCTGCAGTGGAAAGGATACACGCTGTGGAGGGTCACAGACTTGAGCTCCACGCGTCACTTAGCCACTTTCCAGCTGGCTACTTTGGGCAAGTCGCTTAACCTTCATAGCCCCAGTCTCTTCAGCCATAAAATAGGAAGGTTGTGGATTAAATAGAATAATGATGATATTAACAAAGCCAGGCACTGCGACGTGCAGCATTATCTCACTGAATTCTCACAACAGCCCCATGTGAACATGCTATTATCACCTCCCTTCTCTACATGAGAGCCTTGAGGCTCAGAAAGTTTAAGTAACTTGCCCAAGGTCACAGGCCAACTCCCAGGCCAAAGCATGTGACCACAGTGCAGTTCCAAGTACGTAGTTTCTTGGAACGTGTAGATGTAGTTTCTTTCCCTGTCTGTCATGCCCGATGCCAGGGCTGGGTGGGAAGGAAGGAACTCTAGCTCCGCCCCAGAGGCCCTGAGGCAGCTCACTCAGACTCGATTCCCCAGGGCCCTTCCATAGCACCTCAACTCTTGGTAGCAGTTTACAGTTTACCAATATTATCTAACGAATCTTTCCCCCATTTAACAGAGGAGAAAACGGAGGCACGAGAAACTTAAGAGCCTTATTCAGGATCACACAGGTGGGAAAAGGCAAAGTTAGTCTTGAACCCACTCCAGTCCACCATAGCTGCCTTCAGAACCCTCTGGGAGAAAGGGCACATCGTCAACCCTAATAGTGTTGTCACCTCAGTGTGTGTGTGTGAGATCCCCTATTCAAAGAGCAGATTTATTAATTTTTCAAAATTTGGTAATACATGACTAAAAATTCAAAATATTCTGTACAGAAAAATTCCAAACAATTTATGTGGATACCCCCCCCAAGGAGATGGAGTGTACCTGCCCACTCCTTTAGTGTGGGTTCACAGAGTGACTTCCTTCCAAAGAGTACAATATAGAAACAGGGCAAGAGCAACTTACAGAGGAGGAACCTGACAAACACGACCTCCACCAGGTGCTCGAGGTTGACTCAACCGTGATAAGTCACGTTCATAGTACGTGATGACGTGATGAGAATGGCCGTCACCTCTGTGGTCTTCCTCCTGAAAACCCATCACCCTCATCTTATTGAGAAAAACAGCGGACAAATCCCACTGGAGGGATGTGCTACAAAATACTGACCAGTTCTCAAAACTGTCGAGGCCATCACAAACAAGGAAAATCTGGGAAACTGTCCCAGTCAAGAGGAATCTAGAGGCATGACAACTAAATGTAATGTGGTATCCTGGATGCAATTCTGGACAGAAAAAGGACATTAGGTAAAAAACTAAGGAAATCTGAATAAAGTACGGACTTTATTAATAATAATGTATTAATATGGGTTCATTAATTGTTACAAATGTACTATACTCATGTTAATAATAGAGGAAACTAGGGTGTGGGGTATATGGGAGCTCTCTGAACCATCTTCACAACTTTTCTGTAAATCTAAAACTGTTCTAAAAATTAAGTTTATTTTTTTAAAAAGTCAAAAGGTCCAAAAAGATATTCAGTGAAAAGTCTGCCTTCCACCCTTGATCAGCTGCATGGTCTTCTTCCAGAGACAACCTCCATGTTTCTTTCCAGGGAGGTTCCAGTGAGGCCGCATGGCTTAGTGTTGAGTCTGGCTCCACAACTGGATGGCTGGCTCTCAATCTTGATCTCTGCCAGTTTCTAGCCGTGTGAGCCTCGGCAATTCCTTACCCTCTCTGTGCCCTGTGTCCTCAAAGATCCTCATAGCATTATTGTGAGTGTTGAATGTATTAACGTATATAGCAAGCACCTTATAAGTGGTTGCCTTTATTATTATGAATGAACAAGCAAATATATTTATGCAACAAATGTGTTAAGAAAAAATATCCAAAACCTGGAAATAAGGCACACGCAAAAATTACTAAATGGCCTTTCAAAGATATTTTAGACCATTAGCCAATAACCCCACCTATGGGTCATCTAGGGGAAGTAACTTTGCTGACATACTATTTACTATTGATTGGGGCCCAGACGCTATAAAGTTAAGAAGTTAACCTTGAGAAATAGCAAATTATTTTTGTCTGGTTAAAAAAAAAAAAACAGTTATGGTTTTGTTGCCAGGTAGGAATTAACTTTTTTGTACCTAACTTTGCAATCTTATTCCAGCATTCTTTTTTCCACTGACTGTCAATAATGGTTTTTCATTTCTTCCTTTGATCCATCCTGCTGGTTCATTCATTAAGTAGTTAAATAAATCTTGGTACCACTATATATTTGTATTAGTCAAGTTTATCTTGGTGCAAATTTTACTTTGACAAATAGTAGCATGCCATACATACTGTTCCACCCCTTGGTTATTTTCACCTAATTCGTCTCAAAGACAGTTTCATATCAGAACATAAAGAGCTTCCTTATGCTTGTTTTACCACTGTATAGAATACATCATATGGGTATGAAGTAATTATACCCATAATCAATTTAGCCAATCCCCTACTGATGGACACTTAGGTTGTTTCCACTCTTTTACTGTTGCAAACAATGCCGTATGAATAACCTCGTCCATAGGCTGAGAGTAGAGTCACTTAGACAGAGAGGGACAGGAAGGCAGAAGGGGCTCTAGAGGGCAAAGGCGCCCAAGGGAGGGGCCTGATTACCTGCTCCCAGCCCGGCCTAGCCCATCTTCCCCTGGCTCTTCTCCTCCTCCTGCCTCCTCCTCTCCATCCTGAGTTCCTGGTATCTCCAGACAGGAAGGGCCAGCATTCGATGCCCTGAAGGCCTGGGCTTCAGCTTGCACTGCCAGGGAGATGAGGGGGCCTTGGAGAGGAGGATCTTGGGGGCTTGGGGCCTGGGGCTGGTACCGTCCCTGGGCTGTAGCCACTGAGGGCACATGCTTAACACACCCTGAGGGCTCTGGTAGGGGAGGAAGATACGGGGGCCAGAGACTACCTGGGGGGGCTGGGGCGCTGGAGGAGGGGGCGGGGTGGTGCCCAGCAGCTCTGGCACAGACTTGCTTCGGGTGCCCAGTGTAGGTGGCTGGTCAGGGCACAGGGTGTGGCAGGCTGTGGTGAGGAAGGGACTGGCCAGGCTGGTTGTGACGGTCACAAGGTGGTCCAGGACACCCCCCTCCTGAGGAGACTGGGCAAAGGGGAGGCTCAAGGTGGTCTGTAGTCGCTCCAGGAGAGATGGGGCAGCCTGGGCCTGGGCCTGGGCCACGAGCCCGGGCAAGGCTGGCCACTCGGGCTGGTAATGCTGGCTGAGCTGCTCCACTTGGGGCCGCCGCAGCAGCTGCCGGATCCTCCGCACGCTGTCAAAGCTGTCGGTCAGCACTGCCCACTCCAGGGCTGTCTTGCCTCGAACAGGATCCACCACTGTCAGGTCAGCACCTGGCGGGGCACACGGGGTGACGTGGGGTGGGACAAGGATTGGCGACTTGCAGAAGGGCAGGACTGATTGGGTTAGATTCAAAACCATAGAGTCCCATCCTGTTGCGGCTGGAATCTGCGAGCTCTGAGTGGCCACAGCCCAGGGACAGTCCCAGCCCCAAATCCCAACCTCCTGTTTAAGACTGAAGAAGAAAACTGAAGTCCAGAGAGAGCAGAAGACTTCAGAGAGACCTCTTGGGGGTCTCCAGACCTGGAGCAGAATAGGGACCTCCTGAACCAAGGAGCTGACCAGAGGGGTGGTGTACAGGTTGCCCAGGACAGGGGGAGACCCGAGCTGCACCCTCTGGGGCAGGTGGGGGTCCTGCTGGTTCCCACCGGTTCTCTTCATCACCACACCCCTCTAATCCTGGGGGCTGGGGAGTAGCAGTCACTCTGCAATAAAGGAGGGAGTGCAGAGCTCTGCAAACCTAGTCTGCTAGGATGAGGATGGGAAAGGCTGGAGACCAGGACCAACAGAGGGCAGCCCACCTCAGGGAATAATGAGGACCCCTGACTCCAGGGGTGGTGTGGACTTCACCTCAGATCAACTCCACACACCTCAACGACACATCACTGTGTCCCTGGAGCCCTGGCTTGTCAGAGCTGGAGTCATCCCAAAGAAGGCCAACACCCATGGCCTGATGAGGCCCAAGGAGGGAAGCCCTCTGCCCAGGGTCACTCAGCTAGTGCAGAGCAAGGACTAGACCCGAGACTCTGGTTCCAGACACCAGCCTCTTTTGTTTTAGATTTTCCATTTTGTCCAGTTTATCCTCCCAAGCTTTCTTTACTGGGCACGCCATTCACCATGTAAATAGAGCTATCAATAGCTGGACTTTGTTGATTGTGAGAGGCCCAAGCACACTCCCCTCTTCCAGGAAGTCAGCCTAGATTGATAATCCATCTCCACTTCTCTCCTCTCTGCAACTATCACAGCTGACAGTGTCTGGTGGGGAGGCTTGGGGGAGGGACTGGAGGCCACCCATCCCAGTCCAGGCTCTATGCACCTGCCATGAGGAGGGCAGCCACACATTCAGAGCGGTCCCGCATGGCAGCCTTCATCAGCGCAGTTAGCCCCCGCTGGTCCCGGCGCTCCAGGTCCAGGCCCGCGTAGTAGTTGAGCAGGAGACTCACCAGAGGCACGTGGCCTGCAGGGCACCAAGGGTAGAGCTTGGCTCATCAGAAAAGGGTGTGATGAAGCTCCAAACCCACCCTCCACCCAACATGGCAGAGTTGGGGGTGGGAGAACATCAGGCAAAAAGTGGGGGGCTGTGGCCCTGTCTGAATGGGGGAAGCTGCGGAGGGTAGGGTCGGCAGCCTCACACCTGCTTGGGCGGCCAGCATGAGGGCTGTGTCCCCTTCTTTGTCCTGCTGGTTCACATCCAGGAAAGGGCAGCGGCTGAGCAGGGCCACAACATTCTCGAAGCCGTGGTAGCATGCGACCATGAGGCCTGTCTGGGGGAGGGGCAGCTCAGCCCCTGTGCCCTCTAAACCCACATCTGTCCCAGAGCTGTCCCACCCACCCCTCTTTCCACCTGAGGACCCAGGCAGTGGGTGTTGACCCTGAAACTCTCTCAGGGAATCAGATCAGGAGGGTGCAGTGGGGACACAGAGCTGCCCCAGCTGTCCTGGGAAGCATCCGGGGTAGCTCACCCTCCCATTGCCGTCCACCTGAGTGGCCTCTTCTGGGGAGACCCCATCATCCAGCATGGCTTGGAGCTGGGCAGGGTCATTGCGGACACAGGCCCAGTACAGGGCCCCCAGTCTGCAGCCTGGGGCAGAGGTCTCATTGCAGGGGCAGGACAGTGCCTCAGACATGTCCAGCCCTCCCCTCAGCAGTGGCAGCTCCTCCTCGTCCACCTGGGGGCAAGAAGGCGAGTCCCCCCTCCTCACGCAGTTGGCATCTATAACACAGAATGGAGGGGGGACAGTGTCTCCCTGGATCCCAGGGAGGGGTCCCAGCAGCTGCAATTCTCCCAACCCTTGCCCCGGGGAAAGCCTTTTCCCGGGTGTCCCTCCCCATCCACCTTTGAGAGAGGATGAGCCGCGGAGGGAGGCCGAGTTGCAGGAGCCCTAAGAGGGCAGAGGGGTTCACTGAAGTGAGGATCCAGTGAGACTCAAGGAGAGGGAGGTCTTCTTTTTGCCAGGGACCTTACCTGGCTTTGGAGGGGCCTAGGAGGCAGTTATTGCTGGGGCCCCACAGCACCCCCCAGACTCCCGGGAGCACACTCACCGGGTCTCCGGGGCGGCCCGACGGGACAATCTCTCCCCAGGCGGAACGCAGGTAACAGATGGCCGGACTTACGGGAGGAGCCGCTGCAAACAGCCGGAGCTGAGCTGGATCAAGCCGGGTTAGTAAGGATGGGGGGCCGGGAGGGGCGGGGGCTCTCCTCTCGGAGCCGCCGAGACCCGCCCCACGATCCTGCCCAGAGTGGGCTGGGCCCGCTGCGGGCGGCTCCGCCCTCGCGGGGGCGGCTCTGAGAGTACGACCCTTCTCTACCCCAACGCGCCCACCTTCCGCCTTCTGGGGAGACCCGCTGCACCAGAAACAGACGCTTGGAGGATGGAAGGATCGTGAGATCTCCGAGCCCAGCGCCGAAAGCCCGAAGTCCCTTCCGTTTGGCGGAGCGGAGCTTGGTGAGGGGGCGGGCGTGACAGAGGGTGCGAGCGCAGACAGCTCGCTTCCTGGGGGCTGGGACTCAGAACACGGGGGCGGTGCTCCCAGGGGTCACCTGGACCTATTTTTTGAAGTTCTGGGGAAATTAAAACAGAAAAAATTGCCTAATTAGGAGTACAGAAATTATGACATATTAAGTTCAATGGACTAGTTTTGGTGTGGTAAATTAAATGTGAAATACTAAATTGCATCAATATCTAAAGTAAATTATTTAAATTAAATTATTTGTTTATAATTATTATTAAATAATAAATTATTTTAAATTATTCTTTAAATTAATATTAAATTTAATGGATTGGTTTTGGACCTTAGGTGTAGAAAATTGAACCAATCAAATTCCTGTTTATATCACTCGCGCCGTCAGACAGTACAAGATCTCTCTCGTGTATTATTTTACTTTATTTAATCTGTTTCATCACTGATCCCTACAGCCCGTTCTCCTGTTTTTCTTTACCAATCAGCAGTTATATATGCTTGAAAATACACGTTTCATTGAAAAAGGTAGTGTTGATTTGTGTATGTTTTAGCTAACACCTTAGAATTGTGTTACAGAGCTCATCTGTTTGTTTTTCTCACTCAGCGCTCTGTTTTGGAGATCTGTCCTTGCTGCTTTCTGTGCGGGGTAAGTGGATAGGCTGGGAGTGCCTTTGGTTGTCAGTAACCAGAAGCCGACCTCGTGGTTGGTGGCTGGTGTAGACTGGCTGCTCAGCTTCAATCCAAATCCTCTTTTAGTGTTTCTTTTGAACTGCAGAAGCTGGAAAGCTAACACGACACTTCCCAGATGCCGTGGAGCTAGGAATCTGTGACCTAGGCTCTGCTCTTGTGCAAGACATAAATTTGGAACAGAGCTGAATAGCACGGGACATCCGTTTTGCTGTCACGGATCATGACAGATGCAGTGGGGCTCTGGTGAGCAGCTTCCTGATTTCTCAGCTTCCTGTAGGAGTGACTGTTGTTTTCCCAATCACAGGGGGGGGGTCATGTGCCTCTCAAAGCTGGGAGTCGTTCCTGGACCTAGAGCCTGCTTCTCCATCTCCTTGTGTTTGAACTAGACAGATTTATTTCTGCTGTCTGCAAGTGAACCCTAACTGATACATGTGGCTTAAACAAATAAAGTTTATTCTTCACACAAGATAAAAAGTTCAGGGATGAAAAGCTGTTGGTGTTGATGTAACTTGATGACATCAGGGCCTTCTCTGGGAGTCTCCTGACTTCCCCATGGTTACAAGATGGATGCTGAACCTCTAGCTATCACAGTAGAATGTGGTGAATGCACGTATGGAGTTCTGTGCAGCCATTAGAAGAAATCTACTGGATTATGTGTCAAACATTGCTATTAGATGACACAATCCCTATCTATAACCCCCCTTCTCTCTAGTCACCTTTTAGTTAGGTGTAACCATGTACACAACTTTCGCCAATGAAATGCAAGCAGCAGTGTGATGGGTGAGGCTCCTGGAAAAGTCTTTACTCTCTTGATAAAAGATGTGGGGCGTACTTATTTACCTCTTTCTTTCCTCTTCTTACTGCTGCAGAGAATTCCATAGTGTGCATCCATCACATTTTACTTATCTGCTCTTCCAGTGATGGACACCTAGGTTGCCTCCAACTTCCTGCCACTACAAATAACGCTGTGGTGAACATCCTTGTACATAGCTGGCTGTGGACCTGCGAGAGAGAGGTGGGTCGTAGGGCATAGACATGCTTATTGACCAGGTACTGTCAGATTGCTCTCTATTTTGCAGTATACCCACCAGCAGTGCAGAAAAGTCTCCCTACATCCTGCCAACACTTGTGATTATTCAGCCTTCTAATTTTTGTCAATCTGATGGTCCAGAACTATAAAGTGATATTACTACATTACATTGGATTTTTCTAATTATCAATAAGGTGCACCTCTCTCCACATACCTGATAGCCGTTCTTGTTTCCCCTGCTTTGAATCACCTTTGTAGCCTTCGTCCAATGCTCTGTTGGATATTCCTCTCTTTTTCTTATTGATTTTTTATGAATTCCTTTTAATGATCTAGATAATAAATAATCTATTATCTAGATTATTTAAAAACATAGATAATAAATCCATTGTTAGATAGGTTTTAGAAATGTCAACTTTATAAACCTTTCTGTTAGCTTTATCTGTGGTGAACCTCATTGAAAGAAATGTTGAATTTTGATGTGGTTAAATTCATCAAAATTTCTCCTTATACTTGGTGCTTTTGGGTCTTGTTTAAGAAGAATTTCCCATTCCAGGATCACAAAGATCTTCATTTCTTTTATTAATCTTGCAATTTTATTTATTTATTTATTTATTTATTTATTTATTTATTTATTTCTGGTGAAGAAGATTAGCCCTGAGCTAACATCTGTTGCCAATCCTCCTCTTTTTGCTGAGGAAGATTGGTCCTGGGCTAACATCCGTGCCCATCTTCCTCTACTTTATATGTGGGATGCCTGCCACAGTGTGGCTTGATAAGCAGTGCGTAGGTCCACACCCGGGATCTGAACCTGCGAACCCCAGGCCGCCGAAGCAAAGCACTCGAACTTAGCCACTACACCACTGAGCTGGCCCCCTGCAGTTTTGTTTTTAATATTTAGTCTTTAATCCATCTGGAACTTACTTTAATATATGGTGTGAGGAAGGGATCTGTTATGGATTGAATTGTGTTCCCCCTAAAAGTTGTATGTTGAAAACCTAACCCCCAATGTGACTGTATTTGGAGATAGGGCATCTATGGAGGTACTTAAGATTAAATGAGGTCATAGGGTGGGGCCCTAATCTGACAGGACTGCTGTCCTTTTGAGAAAAGGAAGAGATGCCAAAGCTTGCTTGCTCTCTCCCCCCTTCTCATGTGAGCACAGTGGAAAGGCCATGTTAGGAAACAGTGAGAAGATGGCCATCTACAAGCCAAAGAGAGAGTCCTTACCAAACCCCAACCCTGCTGGCATCTTGATCTTGGACTTCTGGCCTCCAGAACTGTGAGAAAATAAATTTCTGTTGTTTAAGCCACCCAGTGTGTGGTATTTTGTTATGGCAGCCCAAGCTGACTAATGCAAGATCCAACCTTGTTTTTCTCCAGTTAATGAGATAACCCCATCTATTAAACAATTCTCTTTCCCCTGATTTGTAGTGTCATCTTTATCTTATGTAAACTTTGAGTTCTCTTCGATGTTTTATGTTAAGTTCTCTTACATCATTTTATTAGACTGTTCCTGTGCCAGTGCAACACTGATTTTATTACTCCAGCTTTGTAGTCTGTCTGACTACCTGATAGGGTGAGTTCTCCGTCTTTGATTTTCTTTTTCAAAATTGATTTTATTCTCTCATGTAAAATGGCAAATAAGTTTGTTGAATTCTTTTTTTTTTTTTTTTTTTGGTGAGGAAGATCAGCCCTAGCTAACATCCATGCTGATCCTCCTCTTTTTGCTGAGGAAGATTGGCCCTGAGCTAACGTCTGTGCCCATCTTCCTCTACTTTATGTGGGACGCCGCCACAGCATGGTCTGACAAGCGGTGCTTTGGTGCATGCCCAGGATCCGAACCCAGGCCGCCAGCAGCGGAGCGCGAGCACTTAACTGCTACCACAAGGCCAGCCCCTGTTGAATAGAAAAAATTTTGCTGGCATTTTCATAAGAATTGCATTGAATTTATAGATTAATTTGGAGAAAATTTACTGCCTCACAATGTTAAATTTTCTCCTCCACGAACATAATATATTTATCCATTTTTCAAGTTTTCCTTTGTGTCCTTCAGTAGTCTTAAAATTTTTTCTCCAGAATGGTCTTATACATTCACTGTTAGGTTGATTTCTAGATTCTTTGTAGTTTTTCTTGCTATTATAACTCAAGTCTCTTATTTTTCTTGCTTATTGTTTATGCAGACCCAATTTTTTTCTCTTTCTCTTTCTTAGACCGCATATACGCTGAATCAGATTAATGACAACCCCCAGTTAATGACATATTCTCATTTGTCTACTTTTGTTTAGTTTATTAGTTAATTACTTTTAATAAAGCAATATGCACCCATAATACCACCCCCCCCAAACAAAAGCTAGAACTTGACAATACACTACATTTTAACATGATTTCCCCAGTGTATCTCCTGCCTCTCCCCACCCAAGGCAGCTATAATCCTGAATCTCATGTCCATTATTTTGTTGCTTTCCTTTATACATTGTTTTATTGCGTCTTTAGATATTACTTCCAAGTGTATCCTTTAGATATTCCTTCCAACATATTATGTATATATGATCTTCCTTGACTTAACGATGTGGTTACATCCCGATAAACTCATGATAAGTTGAAAATATCGAAAGTTGAAAATGCATTTAATACACCTACCCCACCAAACATCATAGCTTAGCCTAGCCTGCCTTAAATGTGCTCAAAACACTTACATTAGCTTACAATTGGGCAAAATCATCTAACACAAAATCTATTTTATAATAAAGCATTGAATATCTCATGTAATTTATTAAATGCTATACTGAAAGTGAAAAACAGAATGGTTGTGTGGGTACAGAATGGGTGTAAGTGTATTGCTTGTTTACCCTCGTGATTGCATGGCCGACCGGGAGCTGCTGCTGCTGCCGCTGCCCAGCATCATGAGAGCGTATCATACCGTGTATCATTAACCCAGGAAAAGATCCAAATTCAAAATTCGAAGTACGGTTTCCACTG